TCACTTATCACATGATCAATTACTCTTTCCAATTCATCCGGTCCAGAGATTATGTTTTTATCAGCCGTTATTGCAACCCCCATTTTCCCATTGTAACTAACATTTATTATTCCAATGGAGCACGATCCCTGCAGCAACCCCGCAATTGGCATGATACGCTCGACCGGATTGCCGCATAATTCGTATCTGTTCTCCTTAAAAGTGGATAAGTTAGAGTGAAACAAGGTTCCATAGTTGCGAAGAAACAAATACTTCCGGAACGTCCCACTAATCAGGCATAGCGCTCTGTTAACTGCGACACCTCCGACGAGAAGGGGCGAGGTGAATATGTGACGAAATTCGGCGGTAATTTGGGCCAATCTTTGATCAATTTTTCCCTCCGAAATCGGCATTATCATTGGGACTACGATCCTACAAAGTGATAGAAAAAAATCGACCTGTTCACCTTCATTCATTTGCCTAAATATGATACTGAATGAGGGTGAATGAGAATGAAATTTCTCTCATTTGAATGAAAATGATTCAAGGATTCTGAATGACTGTGCATGAAAAGACTTTTTCGCCCCTTTCATTTTTCACCCTGTGCTTAACACGAGGGGCGCTGTAAGAAACTATTTTGTCATTAATCAACCCTCAAAAACCAAATGGTCACCCAGCTCTGGTAATGAAACAGATATTGTTACATGTGTACATATTATTCGTCAAGTTTCCCGGATGACTGAAAATACTGGGCAGAATATAAATTGATGTCGCGTCTCGACCTAGATTTTTTCCTCTTTCCTTCAAAATTTTCCTGACAGCGCCGGCCACTCCGGCGGACAGGAGGGACGTGATATTGGTCCTGGTACGGCGGGAAATCCGTTTGAGATCGGCCATTTCCATGGCGACGAGATTTTGACACCGGACCATTTCCCCACTCGGCTTGTCGACCCTGAGAGTACAATGGAAATGAATTTCCAATCATTCGATTTATGTCAAACGGATGAAGGATTCCGTCATTTCGGATGAATGACTGTGAATGAATGGATTTTTCACTCCTTTCATTTCTCACGACATGCTTAAACATGGGGTGAAGTGAGAAATGAAATTCGATGAAGCGAAATGTAATGAATGAGAAATAAAATAATTGAATGTGAATGAAGATCTTCATTCAGAAATCGAGATGACTGAACGGTAAATGAAAACTAAATTTTGGAACAGGTAAATATACATATGTCTTCAGTTCGCGCAATACCTGAGCGGATTGGACCCCATACTTTGCAATGCCCGGAATATAGTTTCGGTCGGAGTTACGAATATCAATTGCAAGCAGGTCCAAATGTTCCACGGAATTTTTGAAGGTTTCAAAAATTTCATCTCCTTTTCGGAACTGTTACCATCAAAAAAATCATTGTAGAACGAGAGACACGCCATACCGTCGGCCAACGAGTGATGAATTCTCCAAACCAGGACAGATTTTGTGCCATATTTGCTGTTGGAGTAGTTCGGCAAGGATATCATTTCCCATAGCGGGCGCCTTTTGTGAAGGGTTTTTCCGGGAGAGAATCCAAATATTTCTGGACTTTTTCCGGGTCGGATTCTTCATTTGTTGTGACATGTTCGGAAAGTTGGAAACTTTGGGATTTCTTCCAGAATGGGGTGGACATCCAAGAGTACAAGGTGCACGTTAGTTCTGGATGCTAAAAACCAGAACATTTTATTCGAACCGATTTACATAACTTTAAGACTATCAAAATCAGCACCTTTTTATAGAATCATTTCTCGGAAATTCCAGCCCTAGGAATTTTTGTAAAAATTCAGGACCACAAATTTGTAAAGGAAATATGTACATATGCACGCGCCCCAGATTTTATTCCATTTTGTGGAAGTGATCTCAAGTTTAAAAAGCGTTCAGAAACATTGGCACGAAGCCAAACTGAGTTAAAAAAAATTCACTCCGATTCTTCATATTTAGATCTGTCGTCCAAAATTATAAAATAAATCCCCAGAACTCAGAAATGATCTAAAATGTGCCACATAATTTTTGGTGATAAGTCATCAAATCCTACATTTATGTAACCGAATAATAAAATTACGTACAATTTTCAGAACACTTTCCATCCTTCGAATTACTTGACTCTGGTCGTGTCCTTCCTTCAAGTAGTGTACGATACTAAGGACACAAACAGGTTTTCTGTAAATATCGTCCCAACCAAACTGCAGAGGTTGAGGGGACGATAAATATCACTTCTAAACGAGCCCAGAAATATGATAAATTTCCGGTATAAAATTAGTGGAAATATTACAAGGAGCATAATCAGGGGAACGATGAAAATCAGGATGAAGATTGAGGAAAGAAATAAGAAAAAGTTTCTGAATTGTGGCATCATTTTATAAATATGAACGAGTTAATTAATTAAGTGAGTTGGATGCACAGGGATGAAAATTCAACTGGTGTGAGATACATAAATTTTGTGCTGGGAGGAAATCCATTCGGTTAAATTCTTAAACTTAACCTTAATTAAAATCATGCACCACTGAATTTCTTCAAATTCATGCACGTATTTGAGTTATCTTTACGGACAATGCCCTTTGATAAGATAAGATAAGGACATGGCTGGATGGCTGGATGCATATGTGTGTAATTACATATAAACAGGGTTCGGAAAACCCCAAGGTTTTTGGGATTTTTGGGGATTTTTGTAGATTTTGGGGCTGGTTGAACCAGAATTCCTAAAATTATGTATTAGACGAAAACTAGTTTAATGTACGAATTCAGAATGCAATTTTAAGCCTTATGATTGACTTGGACTTCAAAATCGAAAATTCATATTTAACATGTAAACCTGGAAATGCATACATACGTATGCAGTGCAACTTGAAAACTCAAGTCGCACAAGAAAATTCTTAAAATTTTAGGATGAATCAGAAAATTTAATTTTGGATTACGTATTTAACACTTAAAATGAAGGTCTTTCACAAGTGAATCGAAGATTTCCATAGGACCATTTTCATTTTATTGACTGATCTACCTAAACTTGTCTAAATTTCGAATTTTTGACCCTTCACCTACTACAATAAGCTCTTTATATTTATGTATTAATATCATATACCTACATGTAAATTAATTTAATAATAGGGTTAAAGACGGTGCAACATCACGAAACTACGTATAGCTTGAAAATTACACCCTTTTCCTAATAAAACTTACAAATTGGTCCAAGGAAAATACATATATAACGTATGTATGTACAGAGGAGGAAGTAAGTCATTAATTTTAAAGATATATATACAATTAGGCAAAGATGGACATTAGATTAGTCCAATTAAGCAAATAATTAAGCAACTCACATTTGCAGCGTGTAACAAATCACATCATCACCATGGACTAAGTATTTCGAGTCACACCACCAACTCAAAATTGTTGTCTGAGTTATCTAAACTTGGAGATATTAATCTATGCACAAACTAGGAAAATTAGTTAACCAGCTACTTAATGTTTTGTTAACTTAGACCTCATAATTTGAAGATTTCAGCCAAATTGGCGGATTGCACTTCACACCATCGCATTGTTACAAGAATACTACATTAACACTAAAAATGTGTTTTTACATAAGTAGAAACACGTTTTTCGCTAATTTTTTACCCTCTGTTCAAATTGGTCCTTTGTTTCAAATTTTGTAGCGTTTTCGATATTTTTGGACCCTGTTCAGCCCGAAAGTGTCCATACATACAAAATACCTTACCTAAGACCTCCAAAATTGCGTTCCAAAAAATCGTTCAATATGTATTGGAATTTTGGGCGAAATATTATAAGTTCTATAAGAAGTACTTTTTTGCAAATATATGCAGAGCTAAATATTTACATAATTTGTGTTTCTCAGACTTCAGGTGTATCTTCAAAAAAATCTTTTAAAATTTTGACAAACTTTTGTTAACTTGTGTTAGCAATGAAGAAATTTCTAAACCATTCCGTATTACACACCAGAACTCTCAAACCTAGTAACAGATTTTACAATTATATCCTTATTTTGGACATTCTTGACGATCTTAGATGTTCAAAATTCCAATTATTAATACCCCGTCTCCAGTACAGACAGGGCAAAAGTATATTAGCCAGTAAAATTATAATATAAATTCTTAGATTCTTATCAAACACTAAATTATAGCGTCGTTTTTCAACATATTTACTTAATTGTAGGATGACGTTGGCCAACCTGTTTGATGGTATGATTCAATTGACAAGTTTTGCGGAAATAAAAGTGGACTTCTGGACTCAACTTTTGCTCACTTGCTCAACGATTTTGGACTTTGACCGGATTTGTTTGATTGACCCTTCGTCATTGGTAATTTTGAAGAAATATATGCATTTTTTAAATCCAACTACATCAAAAATATTTATCTCTGAATTGCGCATGAATGTAGATATATTAGTATGTATGTAGTTTTCCTGTATGTATGAAATAAATATTCATATGCTTGCCTGTGTAGGTTTTAAAAAATTGCGATTCACTGTTTGAATGCGAACCTTCCAAAATTGTGTTTGGGAGTGGATTGTTTATTTTCCAACCTAGCATGGAGGCTACTGGATACCTGTTTGACCGTTTGACGAATGGTAATTTATATTTCTATTGTTGGCAACGACTTTACATTTGTAATGAAACACAAATATAATTGCAGAGTTTGAATCTGAACGCACATTTCATAAACAGAAAGATTTACTGGTCAACGAGGGCGGTATACATGAAGCAAAAATTTGTGGCTGACTTGACAACCGGAGACACGTGAGTATAATTTTTTATAGTTCATAATTTATGAAGGACGATTTACATAATTATCAATTTTAATTAAATGTATAACCACGAATTATTAATTAGTAAACTTGAACCATCAACAAAAATTGCGTTTCTCGGAGAATCCATCAACCCAACAACGGATAGAATGAAGGTAAAAAACTTTAAATACACGTCATAAATTTCTGGGATGTACATATAAACGTGTTCTAATAACTAGGACTTGTTTGATTTTCGAAACAAAATTAAACAAATGGCCTACGCCAAACCGCAATGTGAAACCGAGCCCATAACCGTGATTGGAATGTCATGCCGAATGCCAGATTCTTGCGGCGTGGACGAATACTGGAAGACATATTTGGACGGAAAAAGCGTCATTCGGCCACATCCTGATGGGCGTTGGACCACCGAGCAAATTGGCGCAATGGGAAACATTAGAATCGAGTGCGGCTTTGTACCTTGTTCCGTGGACGAATTTGACGGTGATTTTTTTGAAATGAGTCCAGTTGAGTGTAACTTCACTGATCCACAACAAAGATCATCAACCGAAGTTTCATGGGAAGCACTAGAGGATGCAGGAATTAACCCGCAATCTCTCGCTGGTAGCATGACCGCCATATATTCCGGATGTTGGACACAAGACTACAACGATTTAATACAAAAATTTGCACCTCCGTCTACCGGTGAGCTAAGATGGTATATGGGAAACAGCTACGCAGCAGGAGCAGCACGATTAGCACATATTTACAAGGTTAGAGGCCCTAACCTGGGAGTTGATGTTGCGTGCTCTTCTTCTTTTGTTGCGGTTGGCCAAGCAGTACATGATCTAAGACGTGGGGCTGCCAATCTTGCAATCGCGACTACGGCAAATCTCATAATCAAACCCACCTACCAGAATGACGTCGTCTTATCAAAGGACTCCAGGTGTAAAACATTTGATGCCTCTGCCAACGGATTTGCGAGATCGGAAGGTGTTGCTGCTCTTATTTTGAAGAGATTAAGTGACGCAGTGCGAGATGGGGACCGGATTCATTCAATTATTATGGGGTACGGTGCAACACAGGAGGGTGAAACCAAAAGCGTAGGAACACCAACGGTTGAAATGGAAGCTTTAGCAATGGAACTTTCATTGCGGGATGCAGGAATGAAACCCGAACAAATACAAGTTGTGGAGGCCCACGGGACGGGTACAGCTAAGGGAGACCCACTTGAAATTAAAGCAATATCAAAGGCATACTCCGCTTCGGGTAGAACTGATCCACTAATCATAACGGCCGGGAAAGCAAATATTGGCCACACATAAAGTGCTGGTGGCGTTGCGGGTTTAATAAAGATCACAATGGCCATTAAGCATGGCCTGATTCCAGTTCAAATTGGGATCCAGACCTTAAATCCAGAAATTGATTTGACGTCTATTCCGGCCATTATACCATTAGCTGGTAATATCCCTTGGGGCACTGCATTTGATCAACCGAAAGTTGCGGGAATAAATTCATTCGGCTTTAGTGGGACTAACACATATATTATTTTGCAAGAAGCTCCCAAGTCAATATATAGTACATTTGGTTCAGTCATGAAGAGCAATATTATAACACTTTCTGCGAAATCGGCCGAGGCTTTATCAGAACTTGTTGACAATTACAAGACCCATTTGGTGTACAACACAGACATGAGATTAGATGATATCGCCTACACAGCTAATGTTGGGCAAGCCAAATTTTCCAACAGAGTTGCAATAACTGCTAGAACCAATGAAGAATTGGTACACAAATTGGATGCGAAAAACTGGTCATCCGGAATTGCAAAGAAACAACCAAAAATCTGCTTCCTATTTCCAGGACAAGCAACCCAATATAAAAGAATGGGCAGCCAACTTTATGACACCTTTCCAGTTTTCAGAGTAAGTTCATTCTCCTTTGAGACTGGCAGTCATATTTCCATTAGCTCAAACAGTGTATCTTACTTATTTACAGGAATATTTTGATTTGTGTTTCCAAACAATTCTCAATATGTATGGACTTGACATCAAAAATGCACTTTATGGAGAAGAAGTAACACATGATAATCTCAAGCAAACAATGCACGCTCAGTGTTCTATTTTTTCAATTGAGTATTGCTTACAAAAATTATGGGCTTCACTTGGGGTGCATCCAACAATTGTTGTTGGTCATAGTTTGGGAGAGTTTGCTGCGGCCACTGCCGCTTCATTAATAACTTTTGAAGATGCACTAAAGATAGTGGGAGGGCAATACAAGCTAGTTGAGACCCTCTCGCGTGGAAAAATGTTAGCTGTTAGCGCTAACAGTGAAACATGTTTAGCGCTAGTTTCTGAGTTCTTGAAGGAGCGACCAAGTGAAAGTACAGATTGGATGGACATTGCTGCATACAACACTGACAGACAAACTACCTTATCCGGACCATTTCTTGTAATAGATGAATTCGCAATATTTTGTCAAAACAATGCAGTGAAAGCTACCATCTTAGATGCTTCCCACGCATTTCATTCGAGAGCTTTGGATCCCATGTTAAATAAACTTGAAGATATTCTAAAGACCATAAAACCAGAGGTGGAGAAACCCAATTGTAAATTCATTTCTTCGGTGGATGGTACCCTCAAGTCAGCTTTAACTCCAGAATAATGGATTTCTAATTCGAGAAACGCTGTCCAATTTATACAAGCCACGAACGCTATCGAAAAGCAAATCCTGGAGGATGATTCCGGTGGTCAATACATCTTCCTCGAAGTCGGTCCACATCCGGTCCTTTCAGGCTTGGTTCATTCAAATTTATCATTTGCTCCCCAATGCATCAAATCCATGAGGAGAGGTGGCAACGAGCTTCAAGTTTTCCTCGAGGCTGTTGGTGACTTATATGTTCAATAGGTTTCAGTCGACTTTGCAAATTTTCATCGGGTTCACCAGGCCAAGAAAGTTTCCCTTCCATTCTATCCCTTCCAGCGAAAGTCTTTCTGGTTCCCTTTCAAATCTCAAGCTGATTATTCCTCGTCTGCAATGAAGGGCATGTTGCATCTTCCTGTGGGTAGACTGTTAGCACAACCTAAGACTTCGGAAATGAATGTAAAGAGATACGAAAATATTATATCGGTTGAGTCCAACAAATGGATACGAGATCATCGTATCGGGCAGTTTACAATAATTCCAGCCGCAGGGTTTTTAGAGATGACTTTGGCTTCGCGTTACCTTTCACTAGACAGCAAAATTTTGACCATTTCACAATTGATAATTTTACTGTCCGAAACCCGGCCTTATTACGACAAAGGCAACAACGTATCACACCGTGTTGGAGGGCAAAATGGTCAAAATTTTCAGCCTTGTGGGTTACGATACATAGGTACAACATTCAGAAGGGACAATTACCGAATCTGGGTCACAGAATTTAAATAGTGCTAAGGATCTATTTCTACTAACTGAAAATAAGGACACACCGTCATCAATCTCAATGGAGGAAGAATACAAAAGCTCTGCCGTGGATGGATATAATTTTGGACCAGCATTTATAACCATTACGTCTCGATGGGTTGATGAGAAATTAAACGAGTATGCACAATGCAAGCTTGACCAAACTTACGTTGGTACTTCCAAACAAACAAACCTGTTTCTCTTGTTGATTCACTCACTAAGTAAATTTTTGATTTTTCAGATGGGAAATTTATAGTACATCCAATTGTGTTAGACAGTATGGTGCAGTTTGCTATCATGTCCGTGAGAAAAAAGTCATCCTTCGATGGTTTAATTTTGCATCCTGTCGCAATTCGACGTCTAACTGTTTACAACATGAATATCAACGAACAAACTGATTCGCCTTTACAATTCTACCTGAAAAAATTTCACGAAACTGAAGCAATACATTTATACCATTCTACGGGCAAGCCCTTAGCATCCTTGGAGGGAATTGACCTTCTTTCAACCACATTGTCCAATCTGGACGAAAAGCTGCACTCCAGCCTCAATCGGACTAAACGGTGCCCATTGTATGAGTTGGAGTGGCCCGAAGATTTAATTGCAGGACCAGTGTCTAAGGCAGTTTCGTCAGAAGGCGAGAAACGCAGAAATTGGCTGATATTTGGATTCCGTAACACCTTCACAAATGATTTAATCCGACAACTCCACACATCTGGTGATAGTGTTACATTAATTACAACAGGATCAGAGAAAAAAATGTCAAGCCATAATGTTGAAACCATTGGCGAAAGCAAGGAGGCATTCCTGAACATTCTGTCACAGTTTCCCGTTACCTACGGGATAATCTTTGCATGGGGATTGAAAGCTGTGGTGGAGAATTCCATAATTGATAAATGGTTTTATCTGCTTCAAGCAATCGCCTCAACACCAATCAATTTATCGCAGTTATTGCTTCTAACCAAAGGCACACAATGTGTCTCAATTAATGCGGAACAGTACGAGAAAAAACCAACGGGCGCTTTACTTGTAGGAATGCTACGTTCTTTTAAATCCGAAAATCCAGTGCCAATCTGCAAACCAATAGATTTGGATCCCAGAGAGGGCAAAGGCGTAGAAAATATTATAAACGAGATTGACGAATTCCCAGGTGCTGATAATGGCGCAAATTGCATTTGCTACGCGGAAGGAATTCGACTGACTCAAAAATTGGTGGAGCTTAAACCCTCAAATTTTCTTCAGTCACCATGGACTGACAGATTCCGTCTGCAACTTCCAACGTCAAATCAGGTGTCAGATCTAAAGTTCATAGATGTACCTCGAGTTGTTATTTTGGGGGACCACGAACTGGAAATCAAGGTGAATGCTTATTCACTAAACTTTAGGGACGTCTTCGCAGTGCTAAAACCATCAGAAGCCTTTGCCAAAGAAGATATTGGTGGATGCGATTTTTCAGGGGTTATTTGTCGAACTGGGAATTCCGTATATAAGTATCAAATTGGGGACAAGGTGTTTGGAGTCCATAAACAAAACGTGGCGCTATCGTCACATGTTATTACTACCGAAAATGTAAGCTGTCAACCTGGAAAAATTTGTTCCAAATTTTAATCCCTTCTTAATAACGGCTTGGTGTTTAAATTACTATAGATGGTATCTAAGTTACCAAGGTTATTAACCCATGAAGAAGCGTCGACCTTACCAACTGTTGGCTTGACCGCATATCTATGCCTGCACATTGTTGCAAAGATGAAGAAAGACGATACAATCCTAATCCATACGGCTTCAGGAGGTGATGGATTGGCCGCTGTGCAATTGGCAAATAGAGTTGGGGCAAATATCATAGCCACGGCGGGAAGTTCGAGGAAACGAGCGTACCTGAAGCACATCATTGGAATAAAGCATGTATTCAACTCGAGGAACTTGTCATTCGAATCTGATGTTAATTCTGCCACCGGTGGAGCTGGAGTTGACATCGTTTTTAACTCTTTAACAGGACCCGGATTTAAGGAAGCGTCTCTAAATTGTCTCCGGAACGGGGGCAGGTATGCGATCTCATAGCCATACATGTCTTGCTGTTCAGTTTTTAATTAATTTTTCAGATTCATCGAAATGAGTAAAATCAACGTTTGGACAGAAGAAGAGTGTCTCTTACTTCGGGCGGATGTCAAACATTCCATTGAAGATGTTTGGTGTTCGGCCGAGAATTCAGCCCTGAATCTAGAACATGTAGCAACAGAATTATTGCAGCCTTTACCATACATTTGTTTCAATTCCCAGCAAATTGTAGAAGCAATGCATTTCCTCGAAAAGGCTATGCATGTTGGGAAAGTAGTGGTTAGAATGCCTAACAAGGAAAATACGCTATTTAGCGACAAAAGTAGCTACCTCATAACAGGAGGTTTTGGCGGCATAGGATGGGAATTGATGAAATGGATGTTGTTAAATGGGGCAAATCAGATTGTGCTAATGAGTAGAAATATTCCAAGCTTGGAACGCCAGGACGAGATTAATGATCTTAAAAATCTGGGTAAGTTCATTTGGTATCGGAATGTGTTGAGTTATTTATTCTTTATACATTAAATGAGCACCGCGTTAATTTATTTGGTTAGGTTGCAATATAATTTGGAGATGCGGTGACGTAAGGAAGCTGTCTGACTGTGAATCCATATTTTGCTGGATAAAGGAGCAGTTTCCACAATCACCAGTTAGAGGGATATTTCATTGTGCTGGAGTTTTGTCGGATGCCGCATTCGTCAACCAGACAAAAGAGTCATTAGAAAAAGTTCTGGACCCAAAATTCCATGGAGGCTGGCATCTTCATGAACTTTCAATACATTTAAATCTCCAGCATTTTGTACTTTTCTCTTCGATTTCTTCACTAATTGGAACCCCCGGGCAGGGGAATTATGCAGCTGCTAATGCATTCTTAGATGCGCTCTCCCATTTCCGACACGCTCTAGGCCTTCCAGCTATTTCTTTGAACTTTGGTCATTGGGGAGAAGTTGGACTTGCTGCGGGACAACATATTTCCGGGCTTCACCCGATATCAACCAAACAGGCTCTAGATGCTTTAGGAGTTGCTCTTAAATCAAATTCTAATCAACTTTGCCCAGTTGCTATGAATGTTCCTAAATTGGTACAACGAATTCCTTGGATCGAAAACTTTTTAGGAAATATCCTGCAATAAGAGGGAAAAAATAGTCGAAAAACTGCTGGGTCAAAGAAAGTTGATCTAGTCACCTCTGAAATGTTTTGGGCTGAGATTGAAGACTGCAATGAAGAAATTGCTCATTTTTCCGTCGTTCGAAAACACATGGAAAAAATTGTATCTTCGGTTCTTCAACTGGATAAAAACCATGGGATCAATCGCAAATTTTCAGAGCTAGGATTGGATTCAATAATGATGATTGAGATCAAAAACCATACTTCCACCTTACTGGGTGAAAAAGTTCAGATAAAGATTAACGATTTTTCTGATAACGAGGACCTTGATAGTCTCGTCAAATACATCTTCATACTTATCAAACTTGAGTCCACCCCAAAAGAAGCTGACCAGAAAAAGGGAGTAAATAATCCGCTCGAATAAATTCTACGATTATGCTGTAAAAAATTTAATTATTTCTAGAGATAAATACGGTTGCAAAAATACTTTAGAATGACGTTATATTAGTTACAGCACACAATTATGTAATCAAGTTATAAGTAATTAATAAAAATCATTTTCCCATGAAATTAAATTATATTTCTTTTGTGAACACTTATTTGGTTCAGTAATTAAAATACCCCATCGGTGGTATTTAAAATTGAAAATATCTAAGATACAGTAGATAGTAAATTATGGGCGATTTTCAACCAACAACGGTCTATTGACTTGCAATTTGGAACATCAATGCTTCATATAAAAATACAGGTCGAGTTTGTCGATGTGCGTGTAATATCCACTCGGTCGGGAGAACATATAATTCTACCCAAATCTAGCACTTAATTTATGCACGGCCCACAACTTCTTTGTTCATGAAAAATGTGGAAGGTATAATAATTTATAATTGCTTTACAACATGCATACCTCGAGGTGGGTGTGGTTCAGTGTGAAGGTTCCCAAAAGGTAGGCTGAGTAGAGTAAGTCGACGATACAGAGATTTTCCGGACCCAGAAAGACGATCCAGATGAAATGGTGCAACAACATGAAGAACGCATCCGTCCAGGCATGTGACTAGAGAAGGTAGCGTGGGCAGAGGAAGCTAACAGTTAAATTGGACAAACATTTAAAATGCAGAAATAATTTGTTCAAAACGGTTTACGCTTTTACCCTAGAAAAAATCTGAGAACAAACTTAAAGCAAAAAATATATAAAATTGATTTTCTTGGTTATTTACGTAATACTGCATTTGGTACAATGACAAATACGTGCATATGGAAGTACTACCTTATCAGAGTGAATCCGATCTAAATAAAAAATGGGTTACCCGTATTTTATGCGAGATTATGTCTTACATATTAAATAATAATAATTTCTACATACTAGGTTACTAACAATGGAACGTTTTTCGCTGTTTGAGCAATTTTTTTCTTACTTTTTCCTCCATGGGGTGAAACCCAGGGAGGAATGCGAACTTTGACCCCAACTATTTTCCTTCAAAGGGGCCATTCAACAGAAAGATTAGTGTCATGTGAGTCCTAATTTTTGTCTTGATTTTTTGACATAAATCGCTAGTCGATCCCTGTGTAGCTTGAAAAAAAGTTCCATTGTAGGTCATGTAACGGATCAATCCGGAATTGAAAATCACAGGTATTAAACTAATACGTTCATATGTACATATGTATGTACATTTAAGTACGCACTTTATCACTTTATTACTTAACTAAACTATGTGTGTACACTTCGTGGTAGTCACCGCATTCGTTGTAGGTATTTGTATATTTTTAGCAATTGGCTAAAGTTTACATATTCAACACTAAAAGTCTGTATCGCCAAAAATGAGCATATGTAATGGGCATACATATGTAATAAGATTATGAACATTACAGAAAAACGACTACATAGCACACATCACACATTTTAATTTATGTATAAACTAGCCTATAAGCCCGTCCTGAGGACGGGCCCCACGAACTCTTTCAACGTCGCTATGGAATATTTTCGACTTTGCTAAAGAATTTTTCAATGTTAAGCACATTTTTTGGTGTTGCGAAGGAAATTTTGTACCTTGCTAAGGAATTTTTTATATGTGGCCAAAGAAGTTTGTTTATGTTGCTAAAGAAATTTTTTTTATGTTGGCAAGGACATTTTTTATCTTGATAAGGTAATTTTTTTATGTTGCTAAGGTAATTTTTTTATTTTGCTAAGGTAATTTTTTTTATGTTGCTAAGGAGTTTTTTTATGTTGCTAAGGAAATTTTATTATGTTGCTAAGGAAATTTTTTTATGTTGCTAAGGAAATTTGTTTACGTTACTAAGTATTTTTTTACGTTACTAAGGAATTTTTTTACGTTGCTCAGGAAATTTTTTTGTGTTGCTAAGGAAATTGTTTTACGTTGCATAATCATATCCATAATCATATTGATAATCATATTGATAATCATTCATATTCATAATCATATCCATAATCATATCCATAATCATATTCATAATCATAATCAGAAATTCAGATCCCTTCTCTGATTGGTGGACTCAGAAAGCCAGCAACCAATCAGAATGCAGGAATGTCACGGAAAATTTGACGGGACGGACTTTTCTAAATTATAATGTAGATAATAATTTATTCAATGAATAATTCTTAGAAGGCTCATGGCCCATAGAATTACAAGTTAATTCTCAGCATGATTCAGCAGTATAACTTAATAGGAAAATATATAAGGTTAACAGGCCGGTGACAGTGTTTACTTTACAATATTTTTAAACTCTATTTCTTGAGTAAATTGATAACTGTGAGGCTATCTACTTATTGTATACCGTAAATACTCTATTTATAGCCGGGGCTAAAATCCAAAACTGATGGTCACGGACCCGGCTAAAATTAGAGACCGGCTATAATTAGAGACCCGGCAAAATTTTGTTCCGCCCAAAACTTTAGATTTTACAAAATCCTGGTAAGTCAATTTGAGTTTTCTTATTTAACAGGATCTGCCATCCGTAACCCATTCATTTTAAATCTACATATTTAAAGGAGGTTTAGCAGTTGGTTTTAAATTTTCTGTCATGATTATATCTATTATTGACTTGAAATTAATGGGTACAAATTAGTAGGTCAACTTATTTGTTGATCAGCATCATGTGCAACATTTTTCTTGAATGGGCTATGAACGGGGACACAGCGGACAAGACAGGCCATAATTAGAGACCCGGCTAAAATTGGGGACCCGGCTAAAATTTTGAAATCTTGGTCTCTAGACTAGACCCGGCCTGTTTTGGGATACCCGGTACCCGGCCGGGTAAACTTTACTACCCGGTCTACCATGCCGGGTAATTTAAATGTTCAATTTTTTGCAAAACCTTACACTCTTAGCAACTTGGTAAAGAATTCCTAATAAGCGTCTTTACCGAGCTCTTGGTAATTACGCGTCCTACAAAAAGTATACGGGATTATTACCGTATCAATACCAAACGGGTAACTAGCCTTCCACCGCAATATTTTAAGCTATCTTTATAATTTTGGTAATAAATTTCTACCAGCTGGTAATAATGTCGTTCAAACTTATCTAGCACTCTTTACCATAATTTTAATCAAGTGCAGTACAAATTTTTTCCGTTGTGGTGCTGATGAGATCTACATTTTGGTGTAGTTTATTACCACAGAGGTAAGAATTTTAATACATTTTGTATGAATTGTGAGACATTGCAGCGGCGCTTTTTACAGTTTTAGTTTCCGCTCAGCTCAACTCAAGTCAACATGCCGAAATAATCCCCGTGTCCAATTCCAAATTCTGCATGTGGGAAAAACTGATAAAAACCTTTGGAAATTAAATAGGATTTTAGGAAACAGGTAAATATAAAATTATCATAGGTAGGTTCGTTATCAAGATGGTGATCGAGCACCATCTTAATAGGAACGAGTAAATAACAACCTTATGTTTATTTTTTCAGTGAAACGAAAATTTGAGTTGGAAATCGGAGCAGAGATTTTTCTGCAAGACGACCAATGGGGCGGAGATCGACGACGAAGTATTCCTATCCTTGCTGAAAACCTTATAACCCAAAACTTTGAATTCTTTGTCAAAGGCGAAATACAAACCGAAGTAAAATTGGATCCGGCCTGTCCAGTTTCATCAATAATTTACGGTCAGTAATTTATTAAGCTTAAATTATTTCTAGTCTGCAACATATTATATCTTTCTAGTTGCACGTCCTGATGAGACGTCGATATCCAGTAATGGTTTCCGAAAAACCCAAATTTCCAATGAGGTTGATATTTTCAGTCAGGTTACAATCATTTAATGATATTCTTAGATATCCGAAATCCGAAAATAATTATATAAAATTATTTTTAATTTTTGAAGATTGTAAACGCTGCAACGACTGAGAGCGCCGAAATTTCCGTTTAGTAGCAGAGTGCAATCAGAAAAACTGCTTCGATAAACCGTCGTCGACAACTTTAGTTAATGAATTGGTTGCGTAGTTATGTAATTGAGGTGAACGTTTGAGACGCTTAAGAATTCTTAATATTTAATAATATATTTAATTTGACCAATTAAATTTCAGACTTTCTCCTACAACCTCCGACCAGAAACACTAAACAGCTGTAATAATTAAGCTACTGCCTTCATTGAGATGTTGTAAGTCAGGGGACGGTCTGGTGAGTGAAAATTTCGTGAATTATTTAAATTTGCTCTTGTATTGAGAGTTTCTAAAAATTGTGAATTTTTAATCTGCAGGACATTTTATTTAATGACGTCAACCGATGTGGACTCATCCAAAATCGACGATTTATCAGAATTTGAAGGGGGAATAGAAGAATAAATATGTAAATATGTATATGTATGTATGTAACTCAATAGTTTGCATTATTCTTAAATTTTGTAATTATGTAAGTATGTTTTAAAATGATTTTACAACGAATATAATTGATTAAAAGATTATTGTAAAGAAAAGCAAAAAATCTATTCTTTTCGGTGGAAATCTGCACAACATTTGGTAATAATGGGGTATACGTAATGCAAAGCATTAATACCGGTATGAATAGCACACCGTATACAAAGTGGTACGGTTTATTACCTGGCGGTAGACATTTTACAACATATTGTAGTACATCTGTCATACATCATGGTGTTAATTTTATCCCGAAAAGTGTTCTTTATTACCACTTCGGGTTCAATCAATTTCTTTACCAGCCGGTGGTTATTATTACCGTTTCTGCAGAGTCATATACGTGTGCATTTTGGTAATGATTTGGTAATGATTTTATTTAGAGTGTACAAAAAAATTATAATCCGATGAATTTAATTTTTGTCCTTGGTGTAAAATAATATATTTTGAAAAATTGCGTACAAACTAGGTCAATTTTTAGGTGGAAATTATTATCCAGATATTAAAATTACCTTGGGCGCACTCACGTCAACCCTTGCATACATATCTCCCAGATTAAGCATGGCAACATAACTGGCGATATGTTACGAAATTTGAGACATTTCTCAAAGCTTTCGCTAGAAAACCATTGGTTTTGCAAATTTGTCCAGCAATTAAGCACATTATAATTTAGCAAACTCATCAGAGGTCGACGCCGCCGACCATACGCCGCCGACGCCGCCGACGCCGGTACTATTTTACGCGCCGCCGCCGCCGAAAAATTTGATTTCCTATACCTTCAACATTGCGACGCCGCGCCGCGCCGCCGACACCGCCGGAAAATCACCAAAACCTGGCGCCGCCGCCGCCGAAAATTTGTCGGCGTCGACCTCTGAAACGCATCCTCCCGATTATCAGCGAAAAATAGTTAAAAAATCCATGAAAATAAGATCAAAATAAGCGTCTTTAATAGATCTGTGAGACTTTCAAAGTGATATTTTGCGACTCCCCTCATGAAACAAATTTTTTAAGCTGCACAAGTTTGCTAACTGGGTGGCGATGATTAATAAGACATTGTCGTGAGTACGCTCAGTCTGTACTTTATATTTGTTTTTAACTTCCAACTTTTTAAAACTGGTAAAAGTGTTGCAAATTCTAGAGAAAAGTGGAATAACTCCCTTCATTTTTAATATATAAATATTACACGGCCGGGTAGCCGGGTACCCGGCGAACATTTTAGGCCCGGTACCGGGTAGTAGCACTACCCGGGGCAACCCTACTCTAGACCCGGCTATATTTGGAGACCGGCTATAATTAGAATAGGGCTATAAATAGAGGTTTTACGGTATTTGTGTTTTGCCACTATTCAGTTATGTACTTAATCTTGTTACCACTTGGGAGATTAATTATTTGCTATATTAATTAGTTATTTATTTATCAGCTGAGGGAGCTGAGAGTCGTAGCTGAGAGTGCATAATTCTGCGTGTGTGTGTACATAATCCTAATTTTCGAATTCAATTTTTTGGTAAACCAATTTTTCCTTAATTTTATTCAACAATTAGCACATCCTTTTCTAAACCAAGCTCATTTCGCCTTCGTTTTTCATCATATTAATCTCACCAATTTCATTAATCTCACTTATCACATGATCAATTACTCTTTCCAATTCATCCGGTCCAGAGAATATGGTTTTATCAGCCGTTATTGCAACCCCCATTTTCCCATTATAACTTATATTTATAATTCCAATGAAGCACGATCCCTGCAGCAACCCAGCAATTGGCACGACACGCTCGACCGGATTGCCGCATAATTCATATCGATTCTCCTTAAAAGTGGAAAAGTTGGAGTGAAACAAGGTTCCATAGTTGAGAAGGAAGAAATACTTCCGGAACGTTCCACTAATGAGGCCTAGCCCTCTGTTAAATGCGACACCTCCCACGAGAACGGGCGAGTTGAATAGGTGACGAAATTCGTCAGTAATTTGGGTCAATCTTTGATCAATCTTTCCCTCCGAAAGCGGCATTCTCATTGGGACTGCGATCCTAAAAAGCAATAATAATAAGAATTGGCCTTTTCACCTTCATTCATTTGACTGAATATGATGAATGACTGTGAATGAAAGGATTTTTCAGCCCGTTCATTCTTGACCCTGTGCTAAACGCAAGGGACGAAGTAAAAAACTACACTGCCAATATTTTGTGGATGTTATTGTTAGCAGCGGATGTATGTACTACCGCTCGGGTAATAGTTGACCACCGAAGGGTAGCAAATAAATATACAGAGGCTAAATCCTGCTCAACCTCCAGTGTCAACGCTCACCTCCACCGGTAACACTTATGTCAAAAGATTATTGAGAGTGTAAATATATTTTGTCATTAACCTCTTAACGACGAAGTACACAAATTTGTGTAATATTTTATTTTCCGTTGACGACGGAATACACAAATGTGTGAACTGCATAAATTAACCTGACACCGAAATTTCCCCAAAATTAGAGTATTTCGCAGATATCTTGTGGAAAACTCGATGGTAAAACTGGATTTGTTTGATATTTTTCTTCACAAATTTTAAAATTTTCCTATTAAAAATTGGAATTTTCGTGTTTTTCGTCAAAGAAAAAACAAAAATTTGAAACCGGCTAAAAATTTTAATTGGTTGCTATCAGGTGCAATTATGAAATAAACAACGTACCGAACATGGCAAGGAAAACCCCGGGGTTTTGCTTTTGAAAACCCATACAGCGTGGTTTTACCAGGGTTTTGCGGGTAGTCGGGGTCGTCGGGGTTTTGGGGGCAAACTGAGTCAGTGTCTCATGTATTAAGTTCAGAAATTAATGAAAAAAATCAGTTTTTCAGTAATGTCGCAACAAAACTGCTTATTAATTATATGTTAATAAGTAATTAATTTGTAGAATTGCTAGTAATGCAATGCCCTGTTATCATATTTTGTAAAATTTGAAAACCCCGACTACCCGTGGGTATTGCTCAAATTTGCTACCCCGAAACCCACCAAAACCCGCAATACCCCAATACCCCCAAAACCTGGGGTAGCACAGGCCCGTAGCGACGGTGGAGAAACGTGGAGAGAAACTCTCCAGGCCGTACGCCCCGAGGGGCCGTACCGCCGGGTTCCACAATAGAATGTACAGGATAAAATCAGGGTTTCAAAGTTTTTCGGGGGAAAATTAGGCCGTACCACGGCCAAACTCTCCAGGCCGGACGAAACGTCGCTACGGGCCTGGGGTAGCATACCCTGGTACCGAATACCACCCTCAAACACAAATAGTCACCCAACTCTGATATTGAAATACATAGATATTTCTACGTACATATTATTCGTCAAGTTTCCAGGATGACCGAAAATACTTGGCAGAACATAAATGGCTGTCGCATCTCGACCTAAATTTGCTCCTCTTTCCTTCAAAATTTTCCTGACCGCGCCGGCCACCCCGGCGGACAGGAGGGACGTGATATTGGTCCTGGTACGGCGGGAAATCCCTTTAAGTTTGGCCATATCCATGGCGACGAGATTTTGACACCGGACCATTTCCCGACTCGGCTTGTCGATTCCTTCATTGTCGAAGGATTCCTTCATTTCGGATGAATGACTGTGAATGAAAGGATTTTTCACTCGTTTCAGTTCTCCCCTTAGGTTGAAACATGGGGCGAAGTGAGGCATGAAATCCAATGAAGTGAAATAAAATGAATTTGAATGAAAACTATTTAATGGGAATGAAAATCTCCAATCAGAAATCGGGCTGACTGAACTTAGATTTTGAATGAAAACTAGGTTTATGAACAGGTACATACACATGCCTTCATTTCGAACAATACCTGAGCAGATTCGAGCCCATGCTTTGCAACGCGCGGAATATGGTTTCCGTCGGAGTTACGAATATCAATTGCAAGCAGGTCCAAATGTTCCACGTAATTTTTGAAGGTTTCAAAAACTTCATCTCCTTTTCGGAACTGTTACCGTCAAAAAATTCATTGTACAGCGAGAGACACGCCAAACCGTCGGCCAACGAGTGATGAATTCTCCAAACCAGGACAGATTTTGTGCCATATTTGCTGTTGGAGTAGTTCGGCAAGGATATCATTTCCCATAGCGGGCCGCCTTTTTTGAACGGTTTATCCGGGAGAGAATCCAAATAAAGCTGGACTTTTTCTGGGTCGGATTCTTCATTCGTTGTGACATGTTCGGAAAGTTGGAAACTTTGGGATTTCTTCCAAAATAAGATGGACATCCAGGAATGCAGGCTGCACGTCAGTTCCGGATACTAAGTAAAATGGAGAACGTGATTTAAATCGATCTGAGGAAGTATGAACGAAGAAAATGAAGTATTTATGAATATTTTGAACATCTCTGATTTCAGCAGTGCATTAGTTATGCGCCCCAGATTTTGACCGTTTTTAAGGAGAAAGTCTAACAGACGTTCAGAAACATTGGCACTTAGCCAAATTATGTTATAAAAATCACTTCGATTCTTCTCAAATCTGCGGTCTGGAATTCTCAAATAAATTCCCAAAGTTGAGAAATTATTAGAAGTATGTCAATTGTTCGTGATGAGTTCATCAAGTTCTACTCGATTTATCAGTTTTTAATCGAATAATAAAATTACGTACAATTTTCACAACACTTTCCATCCTGCGAATTACTTGACTAGCTTCGTGTCCTTCCTTCAAATAGTGTACGATACTGAGGGTACAAACAGGTTTTCCGTAAACATCGTCCCAACCAAACGCACCACTACAGATGTTGAGGGGACGATAAATATCGCTTTTAAACGAGGCCAGAAATATGATAAGTTTCCGGTATAAAATTAATGGAAATATTACAAGTAACAAAATAAATGGAACGATCAAAATCAGAATAAATATTGAGGTGAGAAATAACCAAAAGTTTCTGAATTTTGAACTCATTATGGAAGATTTTAGTTCATAAGGTGGCGATGAAATCTGAATTAGGTGTGCTGTGAGGCATCGACTAAATTTTGAGTCTTAGGGAAATACATGCAGTTTCACACCTGCTTTAATTTAAATTTAGTTAAATTCATGCACCCACGAATATCTTTTATTGTCAAGATTAGATTGTTTTCACGGATATACATATGTACACAACTCTTAGACGAGGACATGTCTGCATTTAATGTTATGCATGACGAGTTTTGACACTTATAAATACTTATCTGACACTTCCTTCGGGTACGTCGTAAAATTACCTGAGGTGTTTGCTTTTGTTATCACATACTGAGGTACACAGGTTTTCACACAAAACTCAGATGTGACTGTGTGTGGACGAGGTTAAACGTCATAAGGTGCACATACCTTTTACTTGGCGGCATTTTACATTATACTATCCACAGTTGAAAAATTTAAGGGATTTTATGCAGAGAACTGGCTGGATTTCATGCAGAAAATGTATGCCGAAACAATTTGTGCACAAATCATCCAGAATTATGCAAATTGTGCTAAAACTTTTTGCAAAATATACCTATCAGAAGTTTTATGCAGAGTGGTTCATACTTTTTCTACACAAACCTTTGTTCCGAGCTCTTGTGCAGAATTATGTCAAATTCGGCACATGATTTTCACCCGGGTGAGACGCTACTTTATCTAGAATATGTGCTAAAGTGTGGTTGCACAAGGCTTTGTTTGTGGAGCCGAGCTGGTAAAAAAAAATCTGGGTTTAAGATGGTTTGCGCCCACACAGCAGGAAAATTATTTTTAACCCAACCGTTACACAGGTCGTATTTTGGATATGACGCAATATTTTAGGATTTCCAGCAGGTAGGAAATTCCATAAACTTGAATCATGAGACCACCACATATGTAAATATGTATGGCACAGAATCTGTAATGAGTAAGTAACGAGACAGTGATTAGATATCAAAAATTTCACTGTTACGTAGTCCACAGTGTTCCACGTGCATGCATGAAATTGGGGAACATGCATTTTAAACTGAAAGTAAAACTTAAATATGCATGAAATCACCCACCTTTCCTCATATCTGTTGAAGAATTTAATTTCCATTCAAAACTCAGTCGATTTCTGACCAAAGACTTATGGTCCGCTGTTTTAACCCATTTCATTTCACTTCATTTCTTACTTCGCCCTTCGTACTTCAACAGGATGAAAAGTGAGAGGAGTGAAAATTCCTTTAATTTGCAGGTTCGTTCATTAATTTGAAATGACGGAATCATATTCCAGTCTTTCATACGAATGACTGGAAATTCATTTTGATTCATAATCAGTTAAATGAATGAAAGTTAACAGGTACTGTTTTTTCTGTGATTGGAAATAAGTTTGCCCGTGAATGTCGTGCATTATTCTGTGGAGTGGGTAAAAATGCAAAATATCAAACGTCCAGAACCCGATACGCATATGGATGATAGAAGTCACCTTAATTAAGATAGTACCTTAAGTCATAGGTGCATTCAAAGATAACAATATCAGCGTTTCCGCTCGGCTTCAGGTACATAAATTATGATAAGTTTTCATGTAATTACTTCCAAAATAAAATTCCCAAGTTTTCCGGGAGTCAGTATCTCAACCTTGGGAATCTCAATAAAAGGTGGGAATCTCACTTCACCGTCGCATTCTTGCATTTGCATATTTCATTTACCTCAAACTTTAAAACCTTCATACCAATTTCGTTTCTCTTTTCGACAGAAATATAAGAAACTAAAATTTCTTATAAAAATGGGGAAAGAAGCGTACGCAACATTTCCACGCAACGCGGACGAGGTGGAAGACGCCTTAATCTTGCTGAAATCCATCAAGGAACAAAAACCTTTAAAAAGGTTTTGGTTCTTTACGATTCCAAGATTGAGATGAGCTCCTGGTAAGTGTTGCATTCATATTCAGGGTAGGGAAAATCCCACGGTCTTGCTATTGAAAACCAATACCCAGGGGTTTTACACGTAGGCGGGGTTTGAGGGTAAACTGGGTCCGACTAACATATTCATTTGAAATCATTTGTGCAAACAAATTGTTTTTTAGTAATTTTGCAACAAAGCTCCTAATTAATTAAATTTTACTAACTAATTAATTTGTAGAATTCTTGCCCTGTTACCCTAGTTTATTAAATTTGAAAACCCCGATTACACCGACTACAAGTGGGTGTTGCTCAAATTTTCCATCCTAAAATGCACCAAAACCACAATACCCCAAAAACCTGGGGTACCATTCCCTGTTCATATTCATCTTATTTACTTTTAACCTGTCTCCAGCGGGGATATGACTAATGTTAACGGCAAGTACAGAGAAGTCGAGTGCTACAAAAGTTTTATGAAGCACTGATATTATGGCATCGATTTTTACCATTTCTTTAACCTACTTGTAGGACAAAGTTGGCCAACCAGTTTGATGATATGATACATCTGATAAGCTTTGCCGACCTAGAACTGGATTTTTGGAGCCAACTCCTGCTCACTTGCTCGTCGCTTTCGGACTTTGACCAGATTTGTTTGATTGACCCTTCGGCCTTGGTAGTTATGAGTGTTTTTTTACTTCAACAATTCCAAACATACGTTTCAACTGAATAAATTTGCACCTGTTTACGTAGGTTGTGAAAAATTGTGATTCACTATTTTCCTACGATCCTGCTAACATTGTTTTTGGGAATAGAGTGTTAATTTTGAAACCCGGCACGGTCGAAACTGAGTACCTGCTTGATTGTCTGAAGAATGGTAATGTATATTTCTATGGTTTGAAACAAATTCATATCCCAAAATACAAATGTAATTGTAGAGCTGGTGTCTGAGCGCACATTTCATAAACTGACAGATGTGTTAGTTAATGAGAAATGCGGTATACTTGAAGAAAAAATTTGTGGCTGACTTGAAAAACCGAGAATTGTGATTTTTGTCAAATATATTTTGAAATTTACGAATGACAATTTATTCTAAATTATAATTACATATTTAATTAGTGAACTTGAACCATTGACAACGATTGTGTTTCTTGGAGACTCTATGACCCCATCCATGGATAAAGTGAAGGTGAAAGGTTAAACTTATGTACATACAATGTGATAATTGCAGTGGTATGTAAACGTGTTTCGTTACCTAGGATTTGTTTGATTTTCGCAATAAAATTAAACAAATGCCCTACTCTAAATCGGAAAGTGGTGCAGAGCCCATCGCTATTATTGGAATGTCGTGTCGAATGCCTGATTCGAACAACGTGGAGGAATACTGGAAAACGTATTTGGACGGAAAATGTGTCATTCGGCCCCATCCTGATGGACGTTGGACTACCGAGCAAGTTGGTAATGTGGGAAAGAGTCAAATGGAATGCGGCTTTGTACCGTGCCCAGTGGAGGAATTTGACGGCGATTTTTTTGAAATGAGTCGAGCCGAGTGTAACTTCACCGATCCACAACAACGATTTCTACTTGAAGTTTCATGGGAAGCACTGGAAGATGCAGGAATAAACCCGCAGTCTCTCGCTGGTAGTATGACCGGGATTTATTCCGGATGTTGGACGCAAGACTATAATGAACTTATACAAAAATTTGCACCTATATCTACCGGCGAACTGAGATGGTACATGGGAAACAGCTTTGCATCAGGATCCGCACGATTGGCACACATTTATAAAGTACGAGGCCCAAGCCTTACAACTGAGGTTGCCTGTTCTTCTTCATTTGTTGCAGTAGGTCAAGCGATACAAGATCTAAGACGTGGGGCGTCCGATCTTGCAATCGCCACTACTGTAAACCTTATTATCAAGCCTACCTTCCAGAATGACGTCATCCTATCAAAGGACTACAGGTGCAAAACATTTGATTCTTCTGCTAACGGATTCGCGAGAGCCGAGGGCATTGCTGCACTTATTTTGAAGAGACTGAGTGACGCAGTAAGAGATGGAGACCGGATTCATTCAGTCATAGTGGGGTACGGTGCAACACAAGAGGGCGAAACCAAAAGCGTCGGAACGCCAACGGTTGAAATGGAAGCATTAGCAATGGAACTTGCTTTACGTGATGCAGCAATGAGGCCCGAACAAATCCAAGTTGTTGAGGCACACGGAACTGGAACGGCTAAGGGAGATCCGCTTGAAATCAAGGCAATATCGAAATCATACTCCACCTCGGATAGGGCAGATCCCCTTATCATAACGGCTGGGAAGGCAAATATCGGCCACAGTGAAAGCGCAAGCGGCATTGCCGGGCTAATAAAGATTACAATGGCCATGAAACATGGCCTTATTCCAGTACAAATTGGGATTCAAACCTTAAATCCAGAAATTGATTTGACAACTATTCCTGCCATTATAGCTTTAGCTGGTCGTGTGCCTTGGTGTCCTGGATCTGATAAGCCAAAAGTTGCTGGAATAAATTCATTCGGGTTTACAGGGACTAACACACATATTATTTTACAAGAAGCTCCCAAGTCAATATATGATAATACATTTGGTTCAGTCATGAAGAGCAATATTTTAACACTTTCGGCCAAGTCGGAAGAGGCTTTGACAGAACTTGTCGAAAATTACAAGACCCATTTGTCATTCAACTCGAACGTGAGATTAGAGGACATCGCCTACACGGCTAATGTGGGACGAGCTAAATTTTCGAACAGAATTGCAATCACAGCCTGCAACACCGAAGAATTGAGTAAAAAACTCGATGAAAAAAATTGGTCGTCTGGAGTTGTACAGAAGGAACCGAAGATCTGCTTTCTATTTCCAGGACAAGGGAGCCAATATAAAGGAATGGGTAGTCAGCTTTACGACACCTTCCCAATTTTTAGGGTAATTCCATCTTCTTGATAAACATCGTCATGCTAACTACAACTTAACCTACTATGCTTTACTTATGTATTTCTAGGTACATTTTGATTTGTGTTGGCAACTAATATCCGAAATGCATGGACTTGACATCAAAGATGCTCTTTTTGGGGACGGGATAACAAAGGGTCACCTAAATCAAACACTTTACTCTCAGAGTTGTATTTTTGTAATTGAGTACTGCCTGCTCAAATTATGGGCGTCACTTGGGGTGCACCCAACTATTGTGGTTGGTCATAGCCTTGGAGAGTTTGCTGCAGCCACTGCTGCCTCATTAATAACACTTGAGGACGCGCTAAGAATCGTTGGAGCACGTTGCAAGCTAGTCGACACACTCCCAATTGGAAAAATGTTGGCTACTGGCGCTGACGGCGACACATGTCTAGGACTAATTTCAGAATTTTTGAAGATACGACCTACTGCCAGCACAGATTGGTTGGATATTGCGGCATACAACTCCAAACACCAAACCACTATATCCGGACCACCTTCTGCTATCGACGAATTTGCACAATTTTGTCGGAACAATGGAGTGAGAGCTACCATCTTAGATGCCTCCCACCCATTTCACTCGAGAGGTATGGATCCTGTTTTAAATGAAGTTAAAGAAATTTTAAGGACCCTGAGATACCAAGTTGCGTTAGAACATTGCAAATTCCTTTCTTGTGTGGATGGTACTCACAAATCAATTTTGAGTCCAGAATATTGGATTTCCAATTCGAGAAACCCTGTGCGATTTATCGAAACCTCGAAAGCTATCGAAAATGTCATAATGAAAGATGATTCTGTTGGACAGTACATCTTCCTCGAAGTCGGTCCACATCCAGTCCTTTCTGGCATAGTCCATTCAAACTTATCGTTTACTCCCCAATGCATCAAATCCATGAGGAGAGGTGGCAACGAGCTTCAAGTGTTTCTCGAGGCTCTTGGTGACTTATATGTTAACGGCGTTTCAGTCGACTTTGCAAATTTTCATCAAGTACATCACACAAAGAAAGTTGCCCTGCCATTCTATCCATTCCAGAGAAAATCATTTTGGTTTCCTTTTAAGTCCGAAACTGATTATTCCCCGTCCTCAATGGAGGACATGATGCATCCTTTATTAGGGAGACAGATAGAACAACCTCAAACCTCGGAAATGAGTATGAAGAGATTTGAAAATAAAATATCAGCTGATTCAAACGGATGGGTAGGAGATCATCTCATCGGACCGGGTATTATAATGCCAGCCGCAGTGTTCCTAGAGATGACTTTGGCGTCACGTTACCTGACACTAGATGTTGACAGTAGAAAATATGATCACTTAAAAATTAACAATTTTAGCGTTCAAAACCCCGGCTTTCTTACAACAAAGGGAGTTAATTATCATACGGTATTGGAGGCCAACCTGGTTAAAATTTACAGCCTGGTTGATAAGGATAATTGGATACTACATTCACAAGGAACAATTGACGAGTCCTGGTCGCAGGATTTGAATAGGGTAAAAGATCTCATCCCACTATTTGAAGACAAAGATACACCGTCATCAATATCAATGGAAGCAGTCTATGAAAAATTAGATGTCGACGGATATCATTTTGGACCATCCTTTCTAAGCATAACTTCTCGATGGGTGGATCAAGAATTAAACCAATACGCAAAGGTCAAACTTGACCAGACCGACTTTGGTAAATCAGTACTTAACAAATTTGCTTGTGGGCTGATCACTGTTTACAATTTACTAATTTTACAGATGGGAGATTCATATTGCATCCCGTTGTATTAGACAGTGTGCTGCAGTTTTTCAGGATGACTATGAACAATGTACCCGAGGGAGCCATCCTGCTTCCTGTTGGAGTTCAGCGTCTCACTGTTTACAATATGAAACAAGATGACTCGCCTTTACAATTTTATCTGAAAAAATGTCATGGGTCAGAAGCAATACATTTATACAATTCGACAGGCAAATTATTGGCATCAATGAATGGTATCGACATCCTTCGTACTACTTTCGCCAGTTTGGAGGAAAAGCTGCATTCTGGTTTCAATCAGATTAGGCGGTGCCCACTATATGAATTGCAGTGGTGTGAGGATTCAATTGTAGGACCAGTATCAATGCCAATTTCGACAGAAGGGGGAAAACAAAGGAGGTGGCTAATTTTTGGATTGCATGACACTTTTACCAAAGATTTAATTCGAACACTTAGCCTGTCGGGAGAAACTGTTGCATTAATTACAATGGGACTAGACCAAATAATTTCAACCCAACATGTTGAAACGATGGGAGACGGTATGGAGACATTCCTAAACATTTTATCCCACTTTCCCGCAGCCGACGGAATAATCTTCGCGTGGGGATTGAAGTCCGTGTTAGATTTGTCAGTAATTGAAAAGTGGTTTTACCTCCTCCAAGCAATCGTCAAATCTGCGCTAAATTTATCAAAATTAGTTCTTCTAACGAATGAAGTAAAATGCGTTCCGATTAATGCTGAACAGTCAGAGAAACGACCAATCGCCGCTGTACTTCTAGGAATGTTTCGTTCATTTAAATCCGAAAATCCTATTCTGACTTGTAAATCAATTGACCTGGATTCGCAAAATCAAAAGAACATTGAAAATATTATTCACGAAATTTATGAAGATCGAAGTGCTGAAAAGGGTAGTAATAGTATTTGCTACCGGGATGGGGTTCGCCTTACTCAGAAATTGATGAGGCAAAAACTTCCCATTTGCCTCGATTTGCCAAAAACGGTCAGATTTCGCCTACAGCTTCCAACATCACATCTGATTTCAGATCTTAAATTTATTGGCATGCCACATCTTGCTGATCTGGCGGAGAACGAACTGGAAATCAAAGTGTATGCATATTCTCTAAACTTTCGCGATATTTTCGCAGTTCTAAAACCTTCAAAATGCTTTGACAAAATTGATGTTATTGGAAGCGATTTCTCTGGAGTGATTAGCGGAACAGGAAATGCGATACATAAATATCAAGTTGGGGACATGGTGTTTGGGTATCACAGCCAAAACGTGGCACTGTCTTCTCATATAATCACCACTGAAAATGTAAGCATGTTTAATAATATCACGCAAATTGTATCCCCTGCTAAAAATTACTTCGAAAAAAAATTAAAAACATTACTGTAATTTAAATTACAACAGATGGTTTCTAAGTTACCAAAGTCCTTAACCCACGAAGAAGCGTCGACATTTCCAACTGTTGGCTTGACCGTATATCTATGCCTGCACATTGTTGCTAAGATGAAGAAAGGCGATGCAATCCTAATCCATGCAGCTTCAGGAGGGGTTGGATTAGCCGCTGTGCAATTCGCAAATATAGTTGGAGCAAATGTCATAGCCACGGCTGGAAGTGCGAGAAAACGAGCGTACCTGAAGCACATCATTGGAATAAAGCATGTATTCAACTCGAGGAACTTGTCATTCGAATCTGACGTAAAAGCTGCAACCAGTGGAGCAGGGGTCGATATTGTTCTTAACTCTTTAACAGGACCAGGGTTTAAGGAAGCTTCCCTAAACTGTCTTACGAAGGGGGGAAGGTAAATTCTTGTAAACAATGAGGGTATTCATTATTTCTTCGTATCCGTAGTATCGTAAAATAGTTTACGAAGATAAAACAAGGGGTCAGCTTTCGTAAAAATCGTAAGCATAGTAACGCGATTTTCGATGACAAAATCTTACGACGCTTACAAAATCTCGTAAGCGTCGTAAGTTATTTTACGATACGAAGAATACTAAGGATACGAAGAAATAATGAATACCCTCAATAAATTTTTAAAGTTTATTTACAGTTTTTTAGATTTTAACTTATTTTTTAGATTCATCGAAATGAGTAAAATTAACGTGTGGACAGAAGAAGACTGCCTTTCACTTCGACCGGATGTCAAATATTCCATTGAGGATTTTACTTGGTCAGCCGAAAATACAACACTAATGTCTCACCTAGAAACCATAGCAACGGAATTATTGCAGCCTTTACCTTACACTCCCTTTGATTCCAAGGAAATAGTGGATGCAATGCACTTCTTGTAAAAAGGTAAACATATTGGCAAAGTAGTTGTTAGTATGCCTGACAAAGGGAATACACTATTTAGTGACCAACGAAGTTATCTCATAACTGGAGGATGTGGCGGAATAGGGTGGGAATTAATGAAATGGATGTTGTTGAATGGGGCAAATCGAATTGTCCTGATGAGTAGAAATATTCCACCGTTGAAACGCCAGGGCGAGATTAATGAGCTGAAAAATCGTGGTGAGTTTCGTAAAATAAAGGAATACAAAAAATAAATTTATTATATTACAAAATTGTTAAATGATTTATTTAGGCTACAATATCGTTTGGAGATGTGGCGACGTAAGTAAGCTGCCTGACTGTGAATCTGTATTTTCCTGGATAAAGGAACAATTTCCTCAAGCACCACTTAGAGGGATATTTCATTGTGCTGGAGTTCTGTCCGATGCCACATTCCTCAACCAGACCAAGGAAACTTTGGAGAAAGTTCTAAACCCAAAATTCCATGGTGGTTGGAATCTTCACAAACTTTCTAAACATTTAAATCTCCAGTATTTTGTACTCTTTTCGTCGATTACTTCATTAATTGGAACCCCTGGGCAGGGGAATTATGCAGCCGCTAATGCACTCTTAGATGAACTCTCCCACTACCGACACGCCCAAGGTCTTCCAGCTATTTCTTTGAACTTTGGACACTGGGGGGAGGTTGGGCTAGCTGCGGGACAACATATTTCCGGCCTTCACCCGATGTCCACGAAACAAGCTCTGGATGCCTTAGAAATTGCTTTAAAATCAAAGTCCACTCAACTTTGCCCAGTTGCGATGAATGTTCCCAAATTGGTACAACGAATTCCCTGGATTGAAAACTTTTTAGCAAATATACTGAAATCTGAGGGTAGCCAAAGCGGTAAGACTGCATTGGCAAAGAAAGTTGACTTCGTCACCTCAGAAATGTTCTGGATTGAACTTCATGCTTGCAAAGACGAACTTGGTCGTATTTCCATCATTCGAAACCATATCGAAAGAATTGTGTCATCAGTTCTTCAATTGGAGCAAAATAGTGGGATCAATCGTAGATTTTCTGAGCTAGGATTAGATTCATTAATGATGATTGAGATTAAGAACCAAACATCAACTTTACTTGGGGGAGTCGTTCAGATGAGTATTAACGAATTTGCTGATAGCGAGGACCTTGAGAGTTTGGTTAAGTATATATTCAAACTGATCAAACCCAAATTTTTGCCAGATTAAGGTGACCGTGAAAAAGAGAGTGAGTAATCCAGTGGCGTACATTTGGAAATAATTTAGCTATGCTTAAAAAATGTAGCATTATTTCCAAAATAAACAAATATCCGTTAAAAAATTTTTCCAATTACTTAGGTAATTGGACACCTAAGATAATCTACAGCACCAAATTGTGCGAAAAACATTAATGTTTTAAAAACGGTTTACTCTCGTACTCTCGTAGATGAAATCTGAGAACAAACTTAAAGCAAAAAATAACAAGATCGATTTTTTTGGTTATTTACTTAAATAGTTTTAACAAAATTGGGCCTCGCCATGTCTCGGTTTTCTGCATATCGCAATATCCCAGCTTCTGTTATACTCCTAACGCCTTTAGCAACCCGAGATCTCCACGGGAATTTAAATATCCAACCGCTCGGACTACCTAGCACCCCTTTAGAACTAATGAAAAAATACGTGTATATTAAAGTACTACCTTATTGAAAATCAGTCGGAACATACTATAAATTAGTAGTGAGTTTGGTAAATCTTACTTTAGTATATCTTATTTCCAGAGATCCGTGATTAATTAATCGTGATTAACGGATTAAGGATTGGGATTAAGGATTAATAATCCTTAATGCTTAATCCCAACAAAAAAATGTGTGAAATCAATCCTTAATCCTTAATCCCGACGAAATATTTTTGCTCCATTAATCCTTAATGCTTAATCCCGACGAAGCATGCCCAAATTATTAATCCTTAATCGTGATTAGGATTAATTCTCACGAGAGATTAATACTGCGAATGAGCAAGGTAACAGTTATTCTCAACCATGTGATATTTTTCCATTCTTTCTACTTTCCTCTCCTGAAATTATCTAGCATGCATTATATTTTTTAGCTTTATATTGTTGCTTCCATAAAAGTACTGATTCAATCGTTAATCATGGCGAACAGGAATCTAACTGAACTGAAAGGTTTGCCATTCGTTTTGACCGGCACATTTTTTGATGTCGAAGAACTTGACAAGTCTTGTGGCTCTGTAAAGGCCAGGGGCATAGCTTGTGCACCAAAACTTGCCGTAATTGGCGGGGATATTATTCCAACATTGATTTTTATTACGTACTTAACGCAACACTACTATATATTGCACGTTTTGTAAGTATTTGAGATTTGACACATTAATATCGCTGTGTCGATAATTCTGTGCAGGAAAATAAAAATTATATTAATCCTTAATCATGAATTAATCAGGATTAATTAATCCTTAATCCTTAATCCCGAATTCAAAAGCATTGTGAATTAATCCTTAATCCTTAATCCCAGCAAATTGAATTATTTAATTAATCCTGGACTAATCTAATCCCGGAATAACATTAATCCTTAATCCTTAATCCCACAAAAAAATTCATTAATCACGGATCTCTGCTTATTTCATTATTGTACCAGAGATTGTGTTGTACCACTATACTTATACATATACGGATATTTAAAAAAATAAATAGAAATTCAGACTTAAATAAAAATTTACATGTATTCTGGAGTATTTTGTGCGAAATGATGTCTTATTTAATAATAATAATTTTCACATAATAGGTAACGAACTAGGAATACGATTTAGGTGAGTATCCCACTATATGCAAATATTGCACACTATATCGGTTTGAAACAATATGCAAAAATTTCCGTGTTAAAATCGCTTTTGAAAAAGTAATGACGATTTTAGTGACGCAAATTTAAGAATTTTCTCAATGCTTTAACGAGGGTGAAATTTTTGCTTTTGACCTGTACGCATTACACTCTCTCTCTCCATCTCTGGCGGAGACATTGTTTCGCTACTGTTCTAATCATTGTCCAAAACAGCCGTCCAAAATGCCTCAAAATGAACAAAAAGTGTCCAAAATAGAAAATAAGCTAAAACGTTGAAATTTCGTGATGTATCACCATTTTTTCTAAATATTTGCCAAGATATGCAATCTCCCATTAATCATCAGAATTTTGAATTATAATATAACTATTTGGAAAATTTCGTAGCTTCAAGAAAACATAGTTAAGCAAAAAATTCCATATAATGCTCAAAACTACTTAATAAATAGAATAAAATATATGTGCCTAGATTTGCATGGAAATGTAACAAAGAAATTGCAACATTTTGACCCATTTTCTATATTCGATAATTTTTTTGCATTTTGGACATTTTGGACGGTTGTCATGGCGGAACCATGGCGAACCATGGCGAAACTGGTCTCCACCAGAGCTCTGCGCAGACGTGAGGACAGAGTGGAATCTGGACACAAGCTCAAAAGCAAAAAAAATCCCCGCTTGCTAAAGCATTCAGAAAACTCCTAAAGTCGTCATTACTTTTTCAAAAGTGATTTTAACACAGAAATTTGTGCATATTGCTTCAAACCGATACAGTGCAAAATGTGCATATAGTGAGATATCTGAACTGTTCACCTACCTATGTAAATAGTATACCTAGTACATAAGTAATGTACTAGGTACACATCATGTAACTGAACAATCCGGAGTTGAAAATCATACTTATTAAACTAATACGCATATGTTCATACATATGTACATTTAGGTTCGGACGCGCCTTTCGGACCTAAAAATTCGGACTAGTGCTTTACACACGAGTCTTCCTTTTCAGTCAGGAAAACTAGAATTTTTCCTATTTACACCTGTGCTCATGGAAAATATTTAGGTGGGAAAATCTTCTCCCACAAGCAGAACAAGAGCAGCACCTCTCCGGATGTTCGCGCAGGCTGTGTTCTATCTTCAGAAGGATGTTGCGCGAGACGGCGGGGCAGTATTCGCAAAAACGATGTGACTCTGCTTTCTATTAAAAAATTTGACAAATATGAAACCAAATACCACACCTCGTTTAAGAGTGCATATACGTTGAAAAAGTCTCATAACTAAAAGACAGAGACGACGGTTGCGTCTCCTTGTGTGCTGAGAGACTTTTTTTTAATGAGGGGGGCGGGGCGAAGAGAGCAGCTGATTTTCATGTAAACAATGCAGGCAGTTGCATGTAAAAAGTTGCTTTGGGTTTTGAGAGTGACCGTTCCCACACTGAAAACGGGGCATCGCGAACCAGAAAAGGAAAAAAATTTCGACTAAAACTCCTAATTTGCAGCTAATACAAAATGGATTGATTTCGTTTTGGTGGCAATAAATTCCCAAGTTTGTGATTTACAATTGCTATGTTGCATAAATTCCATAATAAATCTCAGAGAAAAGTATTGAACTGAAACATGGACTCATATCATGTTTCAGTCCAATACTTTTCACCGAGATTTATTATGGAATTTATGCAACATATTTATAATTTATGCCACCAAAACGAAATCAATCCATTTTGTATTAGCTGCAAATTAGAAGTTTTAGTGACAAAAATCATTTACATTACTGGTAAGTGGCGAGGAGAAAAAGTCAACTCGCTCACTAGGATGCACAGAGTGTACCCGAACTTAAACTTTAAACAATGAACGTAGGACTCCATGACTTATCACCAAAATTGGCACATTTCTCGTCTCTGGGACAGTTGGATGCTTGAAGTCCCCACGGTTGTTCATCGTTATATGTGCATGTCATGTACATAAACCCCTCACTATTCCATCCCACAATGTTAAGGTCCCCATAATTCGCGCGGCCACTGTCTGGAAATTTATGTCCAAATTTGGGACGACAAATTTAACCATAGCACAGGTCGTTGTTAAAGTTTTAAAAATACGCATTCCAAATTTTCAGTTTTTAAAAGAGGAGATCGCAACTTTTAGAAGGCATCAAATAAGTTGGAACTCATCGAAGAAATTAAACTGAATTAAAAAACTCATCCCAATTCTGTTAATCAACTCATTCCGGGCACAAATTTATCGTCCATTTTTTTTAAAGTTCAGTCGTTTTTAAAATTAATTCCCAGAGCGTAAAAATAAAATGATTATAAAATTTATAATCAACCATTTCATGGTTGACTTTTACCACCTTGGTGATAAAAGAACCTTCATAAGGAACAAGGCCCCAAAAAATGGGAAATCTTAGTGAGTCAGCGCAATCACAGTTATAAATAAATTTAGATTGAATAACTTTTGCATCACCGCTCTCGGTATCATTTTTCCTGGAAGCATTAATTAATCATTAAGAATAATTGCCCCCCCCCCCTCAAAGGTTCTGGAGCAAGATTATTTGACTTTATCAATCTATAAAAGACGTAGATACTTAATGTCAAGCAATCGTGGGTCTGGAGATTTCATCAGAATAGGGATTAATAGGATATTGAAATTTATATATCGAAATTGTAGACTTTCAACTCTTTCTAAATTTAAAATTCGCAGTTCACAATATCATATTATATCAATTTAGCCAACATCTCGTTCAATAGTAAAAACGTCATCTTGTAATCTCAATTAATTTAATGAATGCAAGAGTTCATGCGTATGCAAAACTAAATTTACAGTGGACCCAGTAAAAATTATCCCGAGCGGTGATGCAAAAGTTATTCAATCTAATTTTATTTATTAACTGTGATTGCGCTGACTCACTAAGATTTCCTTTTTTGGGGGGCCTTGTTTATTTAAAACTTGTAATTGGTTGTCAAAGACATTATTTTTACTGCACAACCGCCGTTATTATCGGCACCCTGAATATTTTTATTAAATTTTTGATTTTCAAACTTGAATAACGCCGTTATTTCTCAACCGATTTAGGTCATTTTGCGCTTAAAATATCCGGAATGACTTTGACTAAAATATTTTCAATAAGCGAGCATGCTGAGATACACCACTTATGAATCATAAAAATAAATATGTTTTCAGGGGAAAATTTTTGCACATTTTGGCACATAACTTGGGTAAAAATCAAAAATTCGCCAAGTCGACTAGCACATCTTTTCTAAATTGTCTAACAATGATCTGTGCAAAATTTCATCAAAATCGGTTGAGAAATGACCGAGAAATCGACTTATGTCACTTTTTTTGGGTGGGGTAAATGCATACTTAGCAAATTTTTTTCGTTGCCAGGTATTTGCCTCACTAAGAAAAAATGGCGATTTTCAGATCTCCTCCTATCGTTTTAACATATGGCGTCAATTGGGCTATCATGCTAAATCTTTATCCTCCGACAAAGGTCACATAATTTACGAACATTCTCTAAGTCATGGAGTCCTACATTACATAGGTTAATTAAAATTTTTGATTTTTTTATCATTTTTGGGGAATCACATCTCTCCAAATGCGACACCCAGTCAGCCTCCGAGTCAATCTTGACGTCACATCCGTACGGACAGGACGTCTTGTCCAGGAAATGGAACAGTTCCACGTGACGCCTCTGGTTTGCCTGGCTGGCAAAGATTTTTGCACATATAGCACAGGAACTCAGGTCTTCTTTAGTTGGAACGGGAACATCGTGACATTGTGCCATGTGCTTTTGCATTACGTTCAAACTCGGGCACAGTTGGGGGCCGTTGGGGCACTTCCGCTGAAAAGGAACCAAGATTTCATGCACGGATCGCATATGTCGGCGTAAGTTCCAGAGCAACGTAAAACTCTGGTCACATTGTGGACATGGAAATTGTGGAGGGACGAGTCTGTAAAAAATGGTAAATAAGGGAGCATTCATAAACAGACGTCGGATATGAATGACCGATAAAACCTCAAAATATGAATGAAAAATGACCGTAAAAATCCCGAAAATATGACCATAAAAATGGCTTTATTTTTTAAATTTTTGGCTTAACGTAGACTTAGGTGACTCATCGCCTGTGACGCCACAGGCCTAAAACTTCGCACATTTTTAATCATTTCTCGGCTCTGATATTTCATTCAAACGTATAAAGCGACACTTTTGTAGAGCAAGTCGTTACTAATTTATTAAAAATATACACTCCAGACTTTGCCACTTTTTGAAGGAGTGTTTGCGGTTTTTGTAAAAAAAGTGAAGACACATAATACCTCCTGTTAAAGAGGATTCCATTTAAAAAAACTGGCTTATCGTAATTAACAAAACTCAACGCCATCCTATTTATCAACTTACTTGCTACAGTTGTGTCGCTTTGATTGTCTATACTCGACTTAATTGCCCCAGAAAACAAATTTGAAATTAGAGTAACTATAACGTGGATAGGTATACGCGTATGTAGGTAATGTAAATCTAACACTAATGGACCATCCACCTACTGCGTATTATATTAGACTTTTATGAATTGAATAAAAACATAATAAAAATGATCTTAGAAGATTTAGATATACAATACATAGTGAATGGACGCCCCTTCCAAAACAAAACAAAACACAAAACATATGTTCTGGTGAACAAGAAATACCAGATAAAATGCTTTCGCGCTGTGTTTTTTGCCGTGAGATTTTTTGAGACGATGAGTCACCTAAGTCTACGTTAATTTTTTGATATATTTTATTGTAATGCTCATTCTTTATCAAATACATAAACAAGTTCTGGGGTTCTGGGGTTAATGCATTCCCAATGAATTAAATCACCTGAGGCGAAAGTGAACGTAAATTTCTGAAAGTTTCTCACAATGAGAAAACTGAATTTTTTGTCATTTTCTGTCGATTTGGTTGCCAAATCTTAGAATTTGGACAAAAATGATAAAATGAATGAAAAAACCTCGAAATATGATCGGGAATATGAATATGTCCCAAAACCCGAAAATATGACAAATATGAGAAAATATGCCTTGACCTACGTGACCTACTAGTGACCATAAACATTCTCAGAAAGTTTGGCGACTGTAGGTCAATAAATGGAAAAAGTCATTTTTCATTCATATCCGACGTATGTTCATAAATAATGTCACGCAAACATCGCGAATTTCTAACCTCGCTTTAACACGTGTCACAAAGACACGTTATAATTGAGGCGTTACTACCAAATCAGATTTAAATGTACTTACTCTCAATTCGCACGTAGTTGAACTTTGCCAGAAATTGAGAATTCTACGAAACTACTACAGTGTCAGTCTCAAAGTCCCCCGTCACGATAATGTGAGGTAAATTGAGACTGACAGTGCCATAGTTTCTGCCAAGAATTCTCAATTTGTGTAAAAGTTCAACTGCGTGCGAATGGAGAGTATGTACAGAATTTCTAGAAGATACTATACATACATACACAAAAAAATAGGATTCTAGGAAATTTATACTCACCGATCTGTTCCCTTTGATGCCGCTATGGAAATGAGTAAATTAAGGAGAATGTATATATTTTAGAATGTTTTTCCTGTACAAATTGTGCAATCTTACCTGCAATATCCCCGGGGGAAATGTCTCGATGTATCGTTCGCATGTGCCGATGAAAAATGTCTTTACGGGACAACTTTATCCCACATATTTTGCAAGGAATTTTCTCTCTTGGTAAGGGAGCTTCAACGTCTAAATAAATACAATCCAAGAATTTAGAGGGCTGATTTGTGTTTACAAATTTGCAAAAAAAAATCTCTATAAAACTCACCGTAATTCATACAAGGATGAATTTTCTAATTCCTCATGTGGCGCCGTTGATCAAAATGTGTGCGCGATGTGACATTAGGTTGGCATATTTTGCACACAAATCTTCGTTCCGCAGGGACATCGGAATTTGCAAGGTTCGAGTCAATTTTAGGAGCTGTTGCGATTTCGTGACCGTCGTCGTATTCGACTTTTACAGAGAATTCTTCCTCCGTAATGAACCCAGTTAAGGGTTGGTTATCGTCATCGTGAGAAATCTTATCGGCAGCAGGATGATAACCGCTGGAAGCAGCTATTTCGCAAGATGATTCTGCATTTATGTATAAAGACTTAATTTAGCCTTCGATTAATCAAGCATGATCATTACTTATTTACCAGAAACTTTTGCAGATTCGTTTCGCAGTATATTGACGAGTCCGTTCCTGCTGGAAATGACGGCACGAAGAGAAATAGTAATATTTTCGATCTGCGTGGTCAACTTGGCCAACGAGAGGATCGCGGAGGAACAAGTTTTACAACAAAATATTGGCGGATGATTTTCGGTTTGCCAAATGAGAGAAATTTGCTCCTGATTTAGGACGAATTTGGCGAGAATTTCCATTTCTAGGACGGCGAAAGGGCGCAGATTTGTCGATTCGGAACAGATCGAACAGGACGACGTTAATAATTCTGGGGTTGAATTGTCCCCCTCAATTTTCAGGGGGAAGTAGTGATGTGGTGGGGGGACAACATTTGACCTGTTGAGTAGGACCGTGGAGGAAAGTAAATCTTGTAAAATGTGTCCAGCCCCATTTTTCGTAAAAGTAGAAATATCGTCGTCTTTCGTCATTTTTATATGTAAAAATAACGATCCTGCAACAATTATGTTTCCTTTTATGTGAAATGAAAATTCACCTTTAAATGTATGTATTCTACGGTTAATTTAGGCACACATCGTGTTCAGTTTGTTAAAATTAGCTATTTTAATTAAAAATTTGATTTGATGGAAGCAAATTGCAAATTGGCTTAGTTGAAAAACCGGTTTTGAAATTGATTTGTTTTGCTTTTGTCAGCTGCTGCTGATTCAGATTTGCTCGTGTTTTAAGTCTGCATGATAACGGTGAATCTGACAAAGGCGTGAATCGTGTCTAGTTTTTCTGCTTTGTCTCTCTCATCTTTTTCATACATGAGTTGCATCATGCATGCGTCTAAATCATGCAACTCTTCTCCATTTTTTTATTAAGTATATTTGCATCTCAAGTATTTTGGTATTTGTATGTATTAAAGAAGCCAAAATTTACCAAATAGTTACGCATTTTGTTCAGGAGATGCAAGGTGCAACTTATTAGCTCACCCTGCGTAGCATGAGAGCTATTGAATTCCTCATGTCCGTCCGTCTGTCTGTTGACGAGTTTTTTGCAGCAATTGATGCTAATTAATAACTCTCTGCCCCATTAGGCTCAGGAGTATCACTGGTATCAAACTATCGTTAACGCAGAATGGTTCGAAATATTTGGGGGAATCGATGCATTCTAGTTCAGATTTACCGAAAGTTGTATTAACCCTTTCTGGGCTTCACGTAATCTCGGAATCGTGTCAAAACTACAGTGTGTCCACTTAAAAACGAGTCCACTATTGGGGGGGGGTAATAAAAGTGATTTTATTTGTACTAAAATTTTTTTTTAACATAAATCCTTTTGGTATACAATACCTTAGTATTTAGTGATGCCTCCACACGCAATTTGCATATCTCTAATTCGTTTAGGGAAACTCTGCGTCAGATTTTCCAAAACGGTAACCGAAATTTCCTTCCATTTTTTTTGGAAGCGTCGAATTAAAGAAGAACGGGTTCGTGGAATTGGCTGCTCATACGCGCTATTCTTGAGATAGGGCCACAGATTCTCGATTGGGTTCAAGTCCGGGCTATTTCCTGGCCAAGTCCCCTTCCCCCAGACTGTTGAAATGTGCTCCCCTAGGAGGCGCATGCTCTCTTTTGCAGTGTGAGCTGGTGCCCCATCCTGCATGAAAGTTATTTTTTTCTTACTTGGAAAAAGTAGCTTATTGTCCATGGCTTCGAAGTAAGTAGGAAGAATTTTGTCACGGTAATAGGCTCCGTTTACATTTTGACCACTCGGAATGATGTGCAAACGAGAGACGCCCCTCGAACAGTACCCAGCAGCAACCATAATCTGAAGACTTTTTTTCGGTGTAGATGTTGCTGGAACCTCCGTTCTTTTTTCTGTCCTGTACCTTGTGTTCTGAGGATTCCCCCGAGGGTGAAGATAAATCCAAGTTTCATCGGTAAATAGTATATGTCGACGTTTTTCTTCACCCCTTTCACCCTCTGTCAAATAGCCGTTTTCGTCCAAAAAGTTACCAAACTTTAACCTATCTTCAATATTTTTGGCAGACAAAAGTGGTTTTTTAGATCTCTTGAAAGCTTTATTTCCCCATGTGGTGGTTTTTAGATGATTTTGAATGGTAGATTTGCTAATCTTTTTATCCATCCGTTTGAATCGATTTGTGAGATTGATGGCGGCCGCACATTTTCGAGTGGAACTGCCAGTTTTTCGGTATATTCTAGTTTTAATCATATTTTTAGTGGTAGGTGACAGTATGGTGGGTTGTCCAGGCCTTTTTTTGTCAGCTGTTGACTCTCGGTTTTTCCAACGCTGGACAGTACTTCTTGCAACTTTGATTTTTTCGGAAATTTCTCTCTCGGAGTATCCCTCCTCCAATAGTGTTTGAATTTCTATTCTTTTCCGTATTCTGTTATATAAATACTTGGTATACATTTTGTAAAAAAATCACCTGTGTAAATAAACAAAGAAAAAAGTTATGCCAATTTGTATTACCTAGTGCTCATGGTAGTTTGGTGGACTCGTTTTTAAGTGGACACACTGTATGTCCCATTTTTTGCCATTTCGGCTGCATAATTGGTGCAAAATTATATCGAGCTTCTGTGTCTTTCAATTTATTGTGTACCATTGGTGCAAAAATTATATAAAAATTATGTCTATTTTCTCGGCTTATTTTGCGCCATTACTGCAAAATTATACGAAAATTCTGTGTCTACACTCCACGACAAAAGGTTAAAGGCACCCTGCGTCATGATCATATCTCTTGACCCCATGAACTACGGTCAACGAATTGTATTTTATTTAGTAGCTAACTAATGTAAACAATTAAATAATACTTAAAATCTACCAATTTAATTCGTACAAGGGGAAAATGAGACAAATTTCAAAAATCGAAAAATTCATGCGCGTCAAAAGGTTAAAGGCACTTCGTAAAAAGTACACAAATCACTTTTTAAAAAATAATTTAGTAATGCTACATTCCACCATGATTCAAGATGACTCCAAGCGTCTATTTGGAAAAGATTTAAACCGCTCAGTTATCCCAGATTGAGCTATTTTTCGCCATACCTTGACCCTGGCTATCTTTAGGTCATTTACGGTCTTAAACTGCTTACCAATTCTATGCTAATGTTCTCCGGAGATTCTCTAGGATGCATTGGTCAGGTGACTTTACAGGGTAATCCAAAATCCTTATCTTTGTCGCATAAAACAAATCATTCATTGGCTTCGATGTGCCGATGTGCCGTTTAGTAAACCACGCCCCCTGTGGGTGTGGCCGTCGCTATCCAGTGAATCACTTAAACCTGGTCATGTGACATATCAATTTTCTCAGCTCGCCGGGTGGAATATCACTGACGTAGTGAAAATTTAGTAAACCACACCCCCTGGGGGTGTGGCCGTTGGTATGCAGTGAATCAACTTAAACCTGGTCTTGCAACATATCAATCTTCTTAGGACGTCAAGTAGATTTCATTGACGTAGTTTAAGTTTAAAAAGACACGCCCCCTGTGGGTGTGGTTATAAGTATTCGGTGAATCTACCTAAACCTGCTCATGGCTGTTGTCTCAGCTCGCCAAGGCGACCACGACGGAAGGCTTAATAAATGCTAAACCACGCCCCCTGTGGGTGTGGTTGTTGGCTTCCGGTGGATTTTGCGAAACAATGTCATGTGATCTGCAAATTTTCCCACCACCTCAGGTCGATCAAAGTTACGTAATTCAAACTTAAAATACCACGCCCAAAATGGGTGTGGTTTAAACATATGTGCAAATCTTGGAAACCAGATAATGCGAATTGCGAAATAATCAGTAGCATGGAATTCATCGCTAAGGTAACCACCCAAGTACGACGACCACAACCCCTGGTGGTGTGGTTTCCATTTTAAGTTTTCTTGAAAGTGATGACCATGGATGTATAAAAATGACGCTTTATTATGAGTCATCTGAAATGGCTTCGACAATCTCGAAAAGTCGTTGCCGTCAACACACCGGGACGCAGTTCGCGAATTTTAATTATTCTGCAAAATGATGGAGATGCTGCATTAAATATTTAAAAAATGGCCTTTCACATCGGTTGGTTTTGTAGAAGTTGAGCAGTCCAGCCCAATTGGAGGCGTGACTTTGATTGAATTACATAACTTTGATCGCCGTAACGAGCTTGGAAAATTTACACGCGGCGTGATGACTTGTTTCGCCAACCTTGGCAAGCTGACAAACCTGATATGCCGCATGGCCCACTTGAAGTAGATTCCCTGGATACGGATAGCCACACCGGCAGGGGGTGTGGCTTTTTACATTTTAACTATACCACTGAAATCTACTTAACGTCCTAAGAAGTTTGATATGTTGCAAGACCAGGTTTAAGTTGATTCACTGCATACCAACGGCCACGCCCCCAGGGGGTGTGGTTTACTAAATTTTAACTACGTCACTGAAACATACGAACGTCGGGCGTCGGGCGAAACGTCCCCTTGGCGAGCTGAGAAAATTGATATGTCACACGACCAGGTTTAAATTTATCCATTGGATACCAATAGCCACACCCACAGGGGGTGTGGCATATTAAAATTTGAAACACGTCACTGAAATCTCCTTACCCGCCTGAGAAAAATGATATGTCGCATGGCGTGCATTGGTAAGGTATTGGCAGAAGCGCCGATAACCACACCCCCTGTCGCCATGGGGTCTACGACAATAGAATGTCGTTCACATAGGGGGCCTTGGTAAGATTACGTGTATTGGCGACGTTGAATTTCGGAAACTACGGTGGGGGGGAAATTTTTTTACTAAATTAAGTGTGTTGATTTGACATCTGACCACCCCCACAATGACTCCAAAGCAGAGGGTGCGGCCTACTAGTCGCTGAATATCTGACCTAACTATTTCCGCCAAGAATTTATCCCCAGCTCCGTCGAATCCAGTCGTAAAATTTAAAAATCCGATAAAGAAGTGTTACTTGTTTTTTGGGCCTTGTGACCTGGATTTCGAGGGGGTGGGGCCGAATTTGAAAAATCTGAAAATATATATTTCTCCCCAAGGTCCAAGGTATCCAAAACGGGCGCCATTGTGAAAATCCATCAGGAAATGACCGTGCAATTAATTTCGAAACTTTACATGTTATAGCTTATGGAAAGGTCGGCCATTTAGCCTTTTGGATTTATTAACATTGGCCGATGCTCAATACTTTTAAGATACACCATAATAAAACGCCCTCATTCTGTAAACCAGTAATGAATGTGAAAGATGAAATTATTGCCACCAACATTACAGAAAACAATGTTAAAATACCGAGATATAAGAATGGAAAAGATTATCAGAGTCAAAGGTTAATCTCATTTGCCCCGGAGAAAGAAAATATGTTTTGGCTGAATGAATTGCATACGAGTCATCGAGCTTTGAAATATGCAATAAACACTGATATTCTGCACAGACCTCATCGTACGAAAAGTACTGAGGAAGCCCCACCTGAACAAACAGTTAAACCTGTCACACGACGAGATGATATTAAAAAATCAAATCACAGAAACCCAGGAAAAAATAAGAAAAAGAAGACGAGTGCACGTGTTTTAATTCCAAAGAATTATTACAAGTTTAATGCACCATGGTCAGAAGAATTTGAGAAGTTGAAGTTGTTTTGCAGCATAAGAATTCTAACCCTGATCACATTTCATGGAAGGGAAGTCATTTTTCGAAGAGAAAAAAGGACACACTTCCGTCAGTCCAACTATG